ATTTTCTTCTTCCCCTTGGAAATCTCTAAGGGATTCACTAGTCAGGTTACTCGAGATGCTTTGGATTTTTCCATTTTTGATGTCGTTCTCGATGCGTTCCCCAACTATTACTAGGTCAGAGAAGCATGACGACACACTGCCCAACATTTTTTCATAGTACTGGCCTTGTAGGGTTCTCATGAATATGTCACCAATTCCTTATCCAATAATGGCAGTTGTACTCAAGCAACCAACTATTTCCATCTCTGTGCGTATTCTTTGAAGGATTCGTTACTCCTCTGAGATAAATCTTGCAGTTGCATGTGACTTGGAGCCATGTCAGTGTTGTATTGATAATGCTTTTGAAATGCCACAACCAAGTAATTCTAGGTGGGAACATGGTTTCTTTCCAATTGTGTATACCAGTCTAATGATACCCCACTAAGACTGGCTTGAAAACAGTGGATAAGAAATTTGCCGTTGCGTGGGTATGCTTCCATTTTCCTAATATACATATTCAAATGAGTCTTAGGACAACTAGCTCCTTTGTACTTTTTGAAATCTGGCATCTTAAACCTCAGAGGAAATACCACGTCTTCAACCAATATAAAGCAGAAGCATCAAAGCTATGAATGTCCTGTCCTTCTATGACGCTAAGCCTCTTTTCCAGCATGTGGTATCTTCGGGTGTCCTCAGCATCTTGTGGCTCTTCAGTATTCATGGTCGGGTTTTCCCCTTGTGGTTTTGGCACAGGGAACACAAATTGATGATACACAATAGATTCATGGGATGGAGTATACCCGTCTCGGAAAACAGTGTGTTCTTGCACATCAAGGTTCTCAATCGTAGCTTGTATAGGTCGGGGTCGAGCCCGAATGTTTTCTTGAGGTGTAATGACGTCCTCAATTGTGTCTTGTTGACCTTCTCTCATTGTTGTAGCTAACGTTACGCTTTCTTCGTGAGCTATTTCGAGTTCGTTTTGAGTATCCGAGAATCACCTTGTTGGATTATGGTTGAAAGTTCTCTGCGAGTGGAAGACATATGAGCTTTATGCAGATGGATGAAAATGCTTGGGTATGGGAAAATTTTTTTTTTTTGGCTTTTAGGTACGCAAATTTTTTTTTTATGGATATGCAATGTGACATAGACGTAGTATGAGGGGTACCCTATGCAGGTTTAATGGTAGATATGAAAATGATGATGTCCTACACTGACTCAGAGATTAAGACAGGAAAGAACTCTGAAGATAATGATAGACATGGAAATGAGGATACTATATACTGACTCAGAGATTGAGACAAACAAGAACTCCTTAAGGATAAAGAAAGACGAAGAAGAATCCCAACATGCTAGGGATTAACATTTTCAAAAGAAAATCCATATTGGGTAGGGGTTATAAAAAGACGGAAGCCTACAGGATAAAGATAATAGTGGGTGAAAAGATAACCCTTGCAGGTTTAAGTATTGTAGTGGGATTTGTGAAAGGTATCCTTAGAAGGTATGTTCCTAGTATTGGCCTACGGATGTTATACCCTCCTCATAAGGTGGTTTCTTTAAGGGTATCATGAGTAACACTAGAGGGAAAGGCACAAGGGCATCTCTTAAGCGGAGCCTCTTTACAGATCGAAACTTTCGTCTCTAGGTCATGAAAGGTCTCATCATGAGTTTTTGGTTTAAAGGCCATACAAAGAGTCATAGGTGTCATTCCAAAGTTCTACTTGAATAGGGATAATGTATCCCCTTGACTAATAAAAGAACCTTCTTTCTAAGGGTTTTTTTGAAAATAATTTTGCAAAATTTAAACCCCTCCACAAATATAATAATATGATAAAATAACAATAAATAAATGAATAAAATAAATAAATAATAATTAAACAAATATAAAAAACCCAAAAAATAAGAAACTCTAAAAACCCTAAAACCAAAGGACATGGCTTCTAAACCTAGGGTTGAATCCCCAACATAGTCGTCAGCTGTTGCAACTAGCTTTAAATACAGAGTCATCACCTTTAATTTTTATCATAAGGAAAGAAATATAAAGGAATAAGCCTAAAAGTTAGAGATTCTAGGTTGTTGACTCGGTTCTAAACGAAGGGAAGGTCTTAGGCACCCCTCATCAACCTTGTTCACAAGGGTTTTAATTTTAATTAGAGGGATTCGCTACGATTTTAATGTATGCCTACGTATCCTCTTAGGAGGAATCAGAGTCCTATTTCGTAGTTCACGGGGTTTGTGTTTTTTATGGATTGCGCAAATATTTTAATTCCCCTTGTACTTAGTCCGGGTGTATGAATAACGGAGATTTTGTACCAAGTGCGCAGTTAATTAAAATATGCTTCGTAATTCTTTTCGAAAATTAATTGTTGAACTAATCTATTTACGAAAAATAATTTGGTGTTTGGTTGAATATCTTTTAAGTAATTATCGAAAATATCTTAGTTAAATGCATGATTAAAAATATAATTTAATGCAATAAATAAAATGATATTTTGGATGAACTTAGAAAATAATATTTATGTGTTTAAATAATAATAATAATAATAACTAATATAATATTATAATTATAAAAGAAAATATAAAATATAAAAATAATGAAGGAAATTAAATAAAAGCAATGGGGTATTAATATAGTTGAGATAGTAAAATAGGGGGGTGTTAATAGCATGGGCCTGAATTCAGATATTGAATTCAGACCCAAACGACAGGGGGGTGCATTCTTGAGAGTCGTAGTAAAACTGGGGTATGAGCAGTAGGGGCTCAAGTCCAGATTTTGGACTTGGCCCATTAAGGTTGGGGGGTACATTTTTTGTATGAGTTAGTAAAAACAAAAAAGACGTGGGGTGTGATTGGTAACGGGCCTGGCCCAGAGCAACAAGGTTTGGGGGAGTCTGTTTGGTTCAGGTATGGGCGGGAGTACCATAGGATCATAGGCGCGCGTTTTTGTGCCTTTGGATAATGATCATGTGGTGATGGTTGAGAGTGTGTGATAGTGACCATGGGATAGCACGCATCAGATTATTAGGCATATATACTTTATTTTTTAACATAAAACAAATCACTTTGTTATCTTCTTTTCTCTCTTCACTCACCCAAAACCGTTTACTCTCTTCTTTCTCTAACAACCCCTAAACAATACCCAAACTCTAGATCTTACCCGACGGCGACACTACCCCTCTCTCTCTCTCTCTCTCTCTCTCTCTCTCTCTCTCTCTCTCTATCTCTCTCATCCTTCTCTTACAACATAAACCCTAGGAATACCCCCAGAAACCAACAGTGTTGCAACCCAATCGGCGGCGGCGATGCTTCAACAACAACAACAACCCGAAGTTATAGAATCCCAACCCCCCAAATTACAACCATAATCCCCTAAATTTCTTCAAAATAAACACAAGCAACATCAAAATCTCAAAAATCAAAAGCTGAGTATCCAAGATTTACCTTTTACTCATCGCACTTTTTATGAATCTCTATGTTTTTTTTATCACTAATCCTTCCATTCTTCTTCTTGTTTCGCAGATATCAGAGACACTTTAAGGTGGCACGACGGTGGAATAAGACTTTAGGGTTTCATACATTGAAACCTTAGATCTTAGATGAAGAGGGAACTTCTGAAGTTTTGGTGTCCGGATCAAACCCTTCAACCTTCTTCTTCTACTCCTTCTTTTTATTGTTCTTCAGAAAAATTGTCTTGGTCCTTGTTCTAGAATTTCTAGGTTTATTTATAGTGTTGAGATTTAGAATTATCTTAGGAAAAAATATATGTTTGTGATGTTAGAACAATTTTAATTCATTTCTGTAATTATTTGATCTAGTTTCTGTTTTGGTCCTTATTTTGTCCCCGTATTATGAACTTAATACAAAGAGATTTTGATTGGTATTGATTAGTTACTATATTAGTTTGTTCTTGTTTTTTGGAAAAAAATTGAATGTATGGATCATTGTTTGATGAATGCAGATCTGAATAGTAACTATTTGTTTGATTTTGGAACATGATTTGAACAGTAGTTGTTCTATGTTTTGGGCCATGCGTTTTCTTGACTTGGGCTGGGCCTTGAAAGGGTTTGGAAACGATTCGTGAAAAAGAGCCTCTTCAATAACACTTCAAAAACTAAAACAAATTTCTCTTCTTTAATTTAGTCATAATGATCTAAGAAAAATTAGTAATAATAATTAATTATAACAAAATAATAGAAATGTTAAATAATAATAATAATAATAATAATAATAATAATAATAATAATAATAATAATAATAATAATAATAATAATAATAATAATAATAATAATAATAATAATAATGTTATAATAAAACAATCCCCCAACCCAAACTGAATGGGCCGTAATCCCTAATATTTGTTATTGGGCTTTAACAACAAGCAAAACGAATTATTTTCTTCATCCTTCAACCTAAATGTAAGCAGGCCTCAACACTCTTAGTGAGCTGGTCTCATTAGTTACTACACCCCCTTAAGTGATAGCATAATCCTCGCCTATTAAAAAAACTTAACCTCACATGAGCCTTTCTGATTTAGAAAGGCCCAAGAGTTATTAAATAACGTGAACCTCTCTCTTTTAGCATTTAAAACAAAATTTAAAAAACCTAATGGGTCATCAGATATTGATGGGGTATGACATAACACCATCATAATCAACATCCTAAAATCAACATCCTAAGGTCAACATGAAAAGGGAACCATGAAGAGGAAATACTTACTTGGTTGTAGGAAGAAACAAAGTTGATGAAGATTTAGCAACAACAACAACGATGAACGGCGACGACAGAAAAGCTGTGAATCAAAGAAGAGATAGCGAGTGAGAAGGAGAGAAACTTTTTTAAATAAAGTGGACTTTGTAAATGTCCTTCATTCTCCTCATTTATAAAAAATTCTCCGCGAGGGAAAGCGTGACAATACTTGGGGCCGCGTGTCGCCGCCTCAACTCATGATTACCCCTACGCATAGGCCTAATTATACCGCATTAAATGCTGCGACGCGTGACTCAAGGGATGAATCTTTTGTCTCTTCAAGCCCCCTTGTCGGGAAGGAACGACAAACTCTTGCATCCTTGCACGAGAACATCCTCGGGGGAAATCTCATGGCAAAGCTTAATGAGCATCATGATGACCCGCGAGCAAAGCCAAACGCTCAATGCAGACACAGGCTGAATTACCGACCAAGAAAACAAACCAAACATAAATTAAACAAATTATTTTTGGTTCGGTTCTAAAACCGAACCAATAAAAACCAATGATGTTTGGCTTGGTTCTTGGTTTTAACTTTTTGGAACCACAAAACTGAAGAACCGAACCAATAGATATAGTTATACTCTAAATCTTTTATTTCACCCATCATTAAGTTTAAATTTTGTATCGGTCTAACAATTATCCATCTTTGCTTACATATTAATGTTTTCAACAAAATATTCATCTAAAGGCAAACTCCAAAATATAGCAAGTAGAAACTATAAGTCACAAAAATTTGCTTTCATTGAATTGTTGCTCTTGCTTCCTGCCACAAATATTGCTCTCTCTACCGTCGTTCTTGTATGTTATGGTCGTTTTCTTCGTGTTCAAGTTCTCTTCGTGTTCAAGTTCTCTACCTTTTTAGTTTCTTCTTCAACATAAAATTATTTCTACTCTTGTTACAAAATAGTTTTGATCTGTGAAACATGTTAATTGATGTGTGTCTTTTATTGTGTTCTATTTGTTAAGTTTTCAAATCCCTTTATAACCTTCTGATGCCAAGTGTCAACTTTTATATTTGACAGTGACCTTATTTTATGATGCAATGATAATCATATCACTTTTTCTATGGATTATGAGCAACTTGTAATTTGTTTAAAAAAATAGAGCAAATAGAGCATGAAATAAATTATATGAAATGTATTACTGTAAAAAATAATAGTATAAAATACACCGAAAAACACAATATTGAAGAGTATAATAATGAATATAATGATTGAAAAAAATATTGTAAATCGATCCATCAAACCAAACCAAACCGATTAATTTAGTTCAATTTCATTTATGAAAAATGTTAAAAATCAAACCACATCAAATCGATGGAGATTTCGTTGGCTCAGACTTTTTTTTTGGACTAAAAATCAGTCCAAACCGAACTGATGATACTCCTAGATAAAACAACCTAATTCGGCTATAGAGATTTTCACGATCCTATGCTAAAAAAAAGTAGAATACGGTTAAGGAAAAAAAAAAGAAGCAGTTCACTCCGAAGACTCGGCTAGGTTGGACAACACAGATTTAGCCTTCTATATTGTTTCCATCACACCTCGGTTTTGTATGTCAATGCATGCCATGGGATTAATCTTTCTCAAAACATAATTACTTACTGCTTCAAACATAATTTTGATGTTCTTGATGATAGCCTCAAACTTAACATTTCTGAAAATGATATATCATTCCTTGTTAACCATTTCCAATTAGTCCCATACGTTCATTACTTCATTTTCATTACACTCCAGAAGCATGTGGCAGTCTGATTCAACAGCATGTTTGCAAAAAACACATACAACATTGCTTTGCCCCAAAGTTACCCCTTTAGCTCGTAAATAATGTAAAATATCTAAACTCGATTATAAGGTAGTGTTTAAGGTGTAAGTTCAATTTAATCCTTCACCAATAGATCATTAACAAATTACAATAATTTATTGATAGTTTTCCAAAAGTTTGATGAGTTGAAGATGTTCTACATGAGAAGAAATAGATGTATGATTCAACAAAAAAAATATCAACTTACAATAAAAACTTTATACAAGATGAATCAGAATTGAACAAAATTGTGGAAGTGTTATAAACCCAAGATCATGTTTATATGAAATTATGGTTATTGGATTGTCACACTTCTTCCTTCCATTGCTAATACAATTGTCACGCTGCCTCTTTTGATGAACTCACTGAAACAGCATCAAAAATATGATTATCATTTATCAATTTCTAAGAGATGAACCAGTATTTGCAATGCATAAAATGATACTACATTTTATTCATTACTAATTCTTACCTGAGTCTTCAATCTCCATCGTTTCTCCTTCCAAAGCATCTTTTTTGCATTGGTTCTCTAGATTACATTCCAACTTCTCATTAGAGGAGTCTTGTTGAGGAGAATGAGAAGAATAATTAGTGATTTTCCCCTCACCATTTTCATTTCCCCAGTCAATGTGTATTTTTTGGCCAAAAAGCACCAACTGTTTCGGCTTCGAATGAACTATTGTTTGGCCAAAAAGCACCAACTGTTTCGGCTTCGCATGATCCATTGTCTGGCCAAAAAACATGACCTCTTTCGGCTTCACATGATCTAGTTTCTCTGATGGTTGTGTAGAAATTGATATGAAGCCTGAAACATTCTCACTGGGAACATTCTCACCACTGCTCTCCTTTAGCACAGTTGGGCTATTAGGGACAGTCGTCGATGTTGAGGCATCGTGATTAAATCTTTGTTGGGCTATAAAGAGACCTAATGGAATTTTTTCTAGGTGATAGCATGAATTAGAGTGACTAAAATGATCATACCCGCCTCCCTGCATGCCTGCAGTACTAGTCATTGCAACATTTGGAAAAGTTGGCATTGATAATTGGCCATTCATGGGGAAAGTTGGGTGTTGAGCCAATCTCGGTTTCTTACTTGATGACAACAAAGGGTGAAAAGGGAACCAAGGCATTTCCGATACAATTTCGACTTGCCACATATTCAGCATTGTATTTGTAAGTAAATCAGGTTCGTCCCATGTCACCTAAAAGATTGATCAAACAAATTTTAAAAATATAATTAGCTATAATTGCTTATAAATCTGAGTTCAATTAAAAGGAGTAGTATGTAATAAACATGTGTATACCTGCAGAAGTCTCCAAAGAGAGTCGGGCCATGCTGGATCAGCAGTCTGAAGAGAAGCAATTGTTCCCATTAACCAATTTATCTTTGACGAGTCTTCTGTTTCAATGGCCATCTTGAACCTCATTCCAGAATACCACCTAATCTGAAGTGCTGTTCTAATTAAAGAAGTTTTCACAAAAAACTCGGGAGTACCAACCCGTGGATAATAAACCACATCAAACGGTTGCATATTGACACCAAGTTTTACTGCTTCAATAACATCTTCAGCCTTCACTCTCCCAATTCCCATCACCTTATCACTTATTCTCAACTCTCCTAAAGACGAAGTACGTCTACCGTATGATGGTCCAAGACAAATTCCAGTTTCACTACCAAGTTTCCTCTTTGATGAAAAATTAAATTCACTGTCATTTCGTTTTTTAGACCTTCGAATTCCAACATGAAGATCATTGTGTTCATCTCTCACAAACACAAGTGAATCCCCGGAAACAAGTAGCTTTTCGTTCACAAAGTCACTCCACCCAGTTGTAAACAGATGCCGCTTTGGCATGCCCCGATAAGCATGTCTGAATCTCCATGTTTCTCCATGCACATCCGTGGGATAAATGTCCTGAGAAGGAAGCATATCTGAATAGTCTAATGGAGGAAAAAGCGTTTCGGCACAATACTTAGGACAAGAGAATCCACACCCATTATTAGCATCAGATTGTGTCAAGGTTTTTGTGTAAGATTGATATTTATTCTTAGTTTCAGACATATTATGGATGTCAGCAACATGGTCATCATCATAACTAACTTGGCTAATATGTAGAGGAACAAGCCTGAGTTTTGCATACACGTCATCTGTATCAGGATCAGCCCTATAATGGATAGCTGCAACTCTACATGGAATTTGGGATGGAATTTTGATGTCAGCAGGAAAATTGACAGGTTCATATGCATGCTCGGCATGACCTTGAGGGAAATAGAAGATCTTAGAGTTAAGTTCTGGAATTCGAACCATTCCTCCAGCAATAGCATGCCATAGCTGAGGGTCCACATCTCTGTTCCCATCAATCAGCTTCTTCTTTGACTCCTTCTCCTTCTTCTTATTAGAAGGAGTTCGATTGCAACCGTTTGTTCCTGCTTTCATAGGTCTCCCCATTTTAAAAATAGAATTCTGCATGAAAAGATGAAAAAAAGAGTGTTATTGAATTGAATTTCTTGCCTAATACAAAAGTAGTAATCTGCCATGATTAATTTTAGTTAATATATTGTTTGGTTTCACAAGTAAAAGTTGTAAACAAAGGTGAAAAATAGTGAAAATAAGAACCTGTTGTTGAAGAATGGATCGTTGTAGAAATAGGGTTTTGTGTAAGTGAGAGTATTTTGTTCTGAATAAATAGGAAGTATGGGTTTAGTGTTTACGTTATATAAAAAGCCATGGACAGAGACTCAGATGGATAATGGTCCGAGAATATCTCCTAAATATAAGTTTAAAAGCCCTAGCTATTCACCTAAAAACATGTTTTATATTTGAACACATATTGTTGTTTTTCCACGTCCCTAATTATAAGAATGTCTGAACAAAAAATTTGTAAATTTTAGGAAAAGTTGTTGAACACAAGTCAGTAAAATTTTACTAAATAATTATTAATATCACCAAAATAAGAACACATAATATATATACAAAAAAAAGCAAGGGTTTAGTGTTGCGAAAATATCTCCAAAAAACCGTTGTGACTGAGACTGTATGATAATGTTGCAAGAATATCTCCTAAAAACATGTTTTTTATAATTGAACGTTTTTCTTCATCCCTAATTAAAGGAATGTGTAACAAAAAAATTTGTAAATTTTAGGAAAAGTAGTTGAACACAAGTCAGTTAAATTTTTAAGGGGGTATTTATTTGTATTAAGTTCTCACGAATAAGTTTTAAAAAATGGTTAATATCATGTTTATTAAGAGTTTGAAGAAAATTTATTCTTAAATATAAAGGTCTGGGAATAAAATAATTTCCAATAAATTTTATAATTATAATAATTTTATTCTCATGTAAGATGGTGGGAATATTGATTCCTATGAAATTTCACATGATTTTTTAATTAAAAGATATAACTATTAATTTTTTTAAGTATCAAATAATATGTCAAACACATTTTTATAAAAATATCAAAGAATCAAACTTCATTATTTTTATTCCCGAATAATTTATTCTTGAGAATCTCTTTCGAACCATTGAATCCTAATATCATCAAAATAAAAACACATAATATATATATATATATATATATATATATATATATATATATATATATATATATATATATATATATATATATATATATATATATATATATATATATTACATAGCAGACTAAGACAATAATGATCTAAGTATCTCCTAGGTAGAGATTATTGTTATTTGGAAATTAAAATTAAGAAGGTTACACAAGACAAATATGCACAAAAATATATATAAACAAAAACCCTTGAAAATTAGTTCAAGAAAACCTAGCCGAAAATATGTTTCAATGTTAAAAAAGAAAATCGGAATTAACAAAGTGATTAACTAACCAACAAACAAATCAGGATTAACTAATCAAACATCAAGAGAAAATCATCACGTTATTTAAGAGAAATTATAAGAGCATAACTACAAGATTATTTTATACGGTGCCAGCTATGAGTATAACTTGTTGTTTGTATAATATTGATTTAGAAACTAAAATTACTATTATATGAAGTAGTTGAAGAAACTATAAAAGAGGGAGTAAATAAAGATGAAATAGAACAATAGTGAAAATAGAAACCTGTTGTTTGAAGAAGAAAGTTCTTTAACAGCAAAAGAAAAAGCCAAATAGAATAGACAGAATGAAAGTATGACACAGTATATAAAGAAAAATCTCTCCAGAAAAATATAATTACTATTTTTAATTTAATCAGATTTTTTTTTAAAACACAACAATATGTTTAATTAAAATATTTTAATATAACATTGATAATTTTTTAAATCTATACTATAGAATTAAAAATTAATTGATTTTTGTTTAAAAAAATATAAAAATTTAAATTGGTATTGCAATATTTTTAAAACATAACAGTTTGTTTAATTAAAGTATTGTTAAGAAAAATATTTTTTATTTATTTTAATGAGTTAAATTTTGATTTATTTTATATTAAAAATATGTAAAATTGATAGTTATTAACCAACTATCTATCGTTGTCTTGTCTATTCATTCCTAAGAAATTAATTCAACTTGATAGAAAATTATTTACTTAATTTAAATATATCATTCTGTGTTTTTTAACGTAAAATCATTTAATTTTTAACACTTTGGAAAAAAATAAAAAAAATAAAAAACATTTTTATAAATATTTTAATCAAATATGTTGTTTTGCTGAAAAATAGTAGTGATTAATTTTAAAAAGTTAATTATTTGAATTATTTTAAATATATCAATTATATATTTTTTAAAATATAAAATCAATTATTTTTTAGCTATATCTAATAAATTATCAAAATTATTATAAAATATTTTATTTCTAATTAAATATATTGTTGTGTTTAAAAAAATAATAATACTGATTATAAGGGTGAAATTATACAAATTATTTAGCTGCAAACCTAGTTCGCGAGACTAGCGGTGTTGAGGATAAAAATTTGTTTCAACTCTTATCAATTTGTTACGAAACAACCTTTCTATTTTAAAACAAGAAGAAGAAAAAAGTGTTACGTGGAGAATTTGTTTCAACTCTCTTCAATTTGATAAATATTTTTTTAAAGCTCATTGTGAATTTCTAACCACAATTATTATTATTATAATTTTTTTATATCGCAATACATATATATATATATATATATATATATATATATATATATATATATATATATATATATATATATATATATATATATATATTAAAATTAATATTATAAAAAAATTTAAATTATTTTTTCTCATATTTTACTATTTAGTTGATCAAAAAAATTTGTGAAAAAAGGGTCTAAGACAAGCAAAAGAAAAAAAGTACTACATAACCATCCTAAAAAAGATGCCGCCTTTAACATCCTATCAATCAAAGACTTAATAAAAATTAGAACATCTTTTCGAAAAATATCTCTTGGATACTATCAATTATAACTTTAGCAAGAACATCTCCACAAGAGTTCACTTCCATATGAGAGTGCACCATCTTCACTTCCTCATATATCTTCATAACATTATGAATTTGCTTAATTAAAGAGTAACCTTCCATATTCTTTGTTGATCTGAATTCTAATGATTTAATTACTACAAGAAAAACTTCATCAACCAGGGGATTTATGTTGGAATTAATTCATATTCAGAAGATGTTATTATTCAGAAGTAGCAGAGCTTCTGAGGTCGTTATCCAGAAATTGTAAACTTCTGAGACTGTTTAGTTAGAAGCAGTAGTTTGATATAATCAGAAGTTGTTATTAATCAGAAGCAGAAGCTTCTGAGGTTACGTCCAGAAGTATGTTCAGCTCAACTTCTGGGTTCTGAGTTTGTTAGCGTAGCTGTTAGGTTTAGTATTTCCTAGTTTGTACCTTTTAACTTAGTCATTAAATTTACCTTTTTAGAGCCTACGTGGCAATTTACTTTGTGTATAAATAGACTAGTGATAACTATCATTTATAACAACAATCATTTCTTTTGTAAGCTTTCTAGTCGTCATTGCAGTAAATGTATTCTCTCTTACGTTTCCTTCATTTATTAACCTTGTGCACTAATAATTGGTATCTAGAACTCCAGTTGGATTCACGGGAAACACGAGTGAAATGGTGAGGCGTTGTGTGATTGATTTTGGTTCTTGAATTAGTGTTGAATCTTGAACAAAATTTGAACAAAATCATTTTTTTCCTTCTAATTTTGTGGGATTGGGAAATACTGTATTTGTGAGATCTGAGTATTCTGTACAAGGTTGAAGATGACCGAAAACGGTAGTCTAACCACCAAGCTTTCAGTATTTAATGGAAAAAACTGGAACCGTTGGACGATTCAGATGCGTGTGTTGTTTGGTGCTCAGGATGTTCTTGAGCTTGTTACAAATGGTTATGTTCTAGTTGTATCAGATGCGACGGAGGAACAAAGAAATGCGCAGAGAGATACAAGGAAGAAAAATCAGAATGCATTATTCTTCATCCATCAGTGTGTGGATGAGAACGTGTTTGAGAAAATTGTTGATTCAAGACGGTGAAGACTGCGTGGGACACACTGAGTATGTGTTACGGTGGTGACGCATCAGTGAAGAAGGTGAAGCTTCAGTCCCTCAGAAAGAAATATGAGAATCTCAACATGAAGGACAACGAGAAGGTTTCTGAGTACATCTCTAGAGTGATTCTGATCACTAATAAGATGAAAGCTTGTGAAGAAACACTTTCTGAACAAGTAATCATAGAGAAGGTATTGAGGTTTCTTGCTCCTCAATTTGATTACATTGTTGTAGCAATATACATTCTAAAAATCTGGACACCATGAGAATCGAAGAGCTGCAAAGTAGTCTAGAGGCGCATGAGTTGCATCTGACTGAAAGAACTTTTGAGAGGAAAGTTGATTAGGCTATGAAGGCTTCTTTTGTCAAGAAGGACCAGAAGCAGGGAAAATATGGTAGTTCTTAGAAGTCAGAAGTCTTATATTCTGATGAGAAGAAACATCAGAAGGGAAAGGAGAAGTATCACAAGAGAATGGTTCAATGTTACTGTTGTAATAGGTTTGTCCACTTTGCTAAAGATTGTTCGTCAAACAAAGAAGAAGCAAAAATAGCCAAAGGAGATTCAGATGATGAACCTGTGCTATTAATGGCATATGAATCTGATGAGGAACCTGTGTAATTGTCATTTTCTAATTCTAGGAGGGAAGAAGATGACTCTGAATATTCTGGCTCTGAAGGAGTGTTTGAATATGAGTCAGAATCAGAAGATGACGATGAAGATTCTGAAGATGAGTCAGAATATGAGGTTTCTAAAGATGACTACAAGTTAGAAGATGACTCTAAATCTGAAGACAAGTCACAATCTGAAGGTGATTCTGAGTCTGAAGAAGAATCAGAAGATGAGTCAGAATCTGGAGAAGATTCTGCTTCTAAAGATGAGTCAGAACTTGAAAGTTCTGAAGAAGAGCTAGAGTCAGAAGATGATGAC